AGTGACTAAGTTGGAATGAATACAACATTTAAAATATTACACAAGGTGTAATTTTTTCACAAGGTGAAAAAAAAACATAAAATACAGAACTGATTATGGTAGGGTGGCAAGAATCAGTGGCATTTCTCTCTATTCAATTAATATATTAGAGTGGTAAGGAATCAAACAAATACAGAATACTTAATGCACTTTCAAATATTCATTCATGCGCAATCCCTTAGTCAACTTGCATAAATTGCACAGTGTAAAATTCAAACTCAGCTTATGCTAGTATCTTTAATTTTTATTGAAACACAACCTTAATCCTTTTAATCCCAAGAGATACATAATACAAATTCACTATATAAGTTAGAAAATTTGTGTAAGTAAAAAGAAAATAGTCTTCTATAAAATTACACACAGAAATAATCACTTAACAATTTGGCAGTTTCCTTCCAGATGTCAATATACCTGTTATTTAATTAAAATAAAATCACATTTTTAAATTTACTTTTTTTACTTAACATACACCAAGACATAATTTCATGTTTTTACATTCTTATGGCTCAGCAGTAAAGACTCTACCTTGCATTGCAGGAGAAGCAAGTTTGTCCCCTGGGTCAGGAAGATCCTCTGGAGAAGGAAATGGCAACCCACTCCAGTATTCTTGCCTGAGAAATCTCACGGATAGAGAAGGCTGGCAGGCTATAGTTCATTGGGTCGCAAATGAGCTGGACATAGCTTAGTGACTAAACAACAAAGCATTAAAAAAATGGCTAGGCAGTACCCCCACTGTAGGAAGGTATCGTAACAATCACCATGAAACATCTAAGTTGTTTACAATTTTACAGCATAGAGTCACCCGCTCTGGAGTCAAACTGCTTAAAGTCTGTGCTCTGCCAGTTACTGATTCTGCTAACTTGGGCAAGCTACCTAATAATTTCTCTATACCTCAATTTTCTCTTATGAAAAATGGGGACAGCATTACTTACTATAGATGATTAATGTGGGGAAGGGATCAAATGTGTTAATATGCAGCTTTTATTATCAACAATGCTGCAACTGGTTGTAAACAGCTACCAATTCATCGGTTTTATTACACCAAAATAAATACCAAAACAAATTCACTTAAAATTTCCACATTAGAAGGTATGCCCATTTTTCAGGCTTTGAATATGCCAAACTACAGCTGGGTTTAAAAATCGCTCATCAAACAGTTCTCTCATTTAATACTCATTTTTCCTTATCCAAGAAAATGAAAACTATGATCCAGTTAAGCTAACTTGTTTCAATTAGCTTTTGCTCTTCCACTTCCGTACCTGCAAACCTACACATATTTGTAAACTCTCAGTCCATAGGGAACTAAGGAAACCTGGCTGATTACCTAATTCGGCTCATCATTTCCCCTTCTCTTGAATCCCTAACTTGAATGCCCATCAGTGGAAGGGGACCGCCTACCACCAGAAACAACCCATTATACTGTCCTTTTGAGGAATTTTTCTTCGAGGAATGTTGAAATCGGCCTCCTTCTAATTTCTACCCCTTGCTCCTAGTTCTTTCTGGTCAAGTCAAACCTTACTGTTCTGTGTGACAGAATAGATGAGCTTCTCTTTTGGGGGCCAAAGATCACAGTTTTTCAACTTTTCCTCCCTTCCATTTCCTCCACAATCAAAATTCTCTGGCCATGCTCTATAGTGTTTTTAAACTTGATTGTGAGAAAAACAGAGTGGGCCAGTTCCTATCCTACTTAAGGTTGGGTCTCCATAGGTCTTTTTAATGAGCGCTCCAGCTGATTCTGATAGTTTCAGAACTGATGCAAGATCCCACTTACAATATGATAGTATGCTATTTGAAATAATACCCCAGGTGTAACAACCAGTACAAAGTAGGGCTGACACCTTGCTCTTCAAAATGTCATTTACTTTTTAAAAAATTTTAAGTGTTCATTCATATTAAACGTACAATCAGTTAAAATTATCAAGTCTTTTCCACACTATTTATGCATGAGCATCTTGGGCCCTAACAGCCAACCTTTATAATCATTCCCATTAAAAGGTTAAGAGAGCTAGGGCTACAAATTTCAATTTTAAATGGGCCATTTAATTTCTAAATGGACCAATGGTCCTGCAGGTGGATTTACTTTCAGTAAGGAAATCACTTCATGGTCAAGCCTCTAATACTATGGACATACTTAGCTCAAATAAAACTGCATTAGCCCGCCAACGTCTGAACGGGACAGTTGGTTGCACCAAAGTATCTTCTCTGTGCAGACCACTGTTGCCAACATTGTGAAGTAACACACAGGCCCTAATACTAACACTAATAAACTGACTGAGAGAGCCTCATGGAACAAACCTCTTCAAAAAAAGTTCAATATACTAATTATAGTTGTCCTGAGGTAGACATGACTACTAGTGGGAAAGCTCAGGGACCAAAGAAATTACTCACTAGAAAACTAAGTTGCCCTGAACTTAAAGGTTTTGTTTCAGTTTGCTTTTTGGTATTTGCAGAGCGAAGAAATGGAGCTATCCACACTCAACCTGCTTGCAAAGGGGTACGGCACCCTCATAATTAATTCATGAGTCAAAATTTTCTCGCAGTGACTCCTGAACCCCTCATAACTTGTTTGTTTTACCTGCTATTTCTAACTTAAGGTACTCAAGGGCCAAAAAAAGTCCATTCTATAGACGATGAGCTCATCATAAATATATCTAGAGTTGAGGGTGGGGAGTACAACTCAAAATCCAATCCGGTATTTATTTTCATGTGAATAGCAAACATCAAAAATATACCTGGCATTTTCTAGCAATTACATGAAGACAGACCAGATGCTTCCTGTTGATGGAACAGGAGAGAACTACAGACTGGCAGAATCAGACTAAAGTTCACAAAACAACCAGAAGCTTCATTTCAGAACCATTAAACCAAAGCAGGTATGACTTTTAATAAGTGTTCACATATTTACAACTGTCCTCCAACCTAGAACACCCAGACTGATTCAGAAATAGATAACTCATGAACTCTTAAATTACAGAGTTAACTCTACATCTGTATATGCATTACAATGTAAAAGCAGTTTCACCAAACGTTTCACTGCAGGACTCCTTTTTAATCTGGCACTGCGATAGTGCTTTGAAGTGCTCAACTTCAGAGATTACATTTACATACAAGTTTTCACAAGCAAATTTAACATGGGATTCGTGTTTTACTTGTGTACATCATTAAAAATAAGTTGTGGAATTAAAAATTAAGTTTAATCACTTAAAATTTTTTCAAATATTCTGAGTCTCTAAAATTATATGCAGATTATGCAATCTTTATTCATGATGTTTATGCATCTAAATCCCAAATTGAAAAAGTTAGAGCTCAAGAAAAAAAGCACAGGAAACCCTCTTATCCGTATTTTTTAAATGTGTCTTTTACAATAATATCCTGATTTGATCTGAATGGTAAGAGCAGGATAGAAATGACACATTTTTCAGCTTTTGAAAAAAGGCATGAGTATACAGTGGAGTTTACCAGCGGTTACATGATGTGATACCACAACAAACTGAACACAGAAGTAGGTTCACGAATCCACCTATCTTCTGTTAACTGGGCATTCAAAAGACACAAAAATGCAAAAAAAAAAATGTCACTCTTGCCTAAAACATCACTGGCGTTAACATGCAACAGACTTTTATTTTGTTATCTTGGGGGAAAATAAATACTCCAAAAGAGAAAAAGTTAAGAAAAAAGACAAAGCCATCTTTCGTTTCCTTAAATTCAAAATCTGAGCCTGAAAGTGGAAGTGGCAAGGTCGATGGTTACAGTCACTGAGAAGAAATTTAAAGCAAGCTGGGTGGGTCTCTGTGTGAAAAAAGACATCTGCAAAAAGAACTCCTGGCCACTAACTTCTGCATAATAAACTACGGTGCTTTAACTCTGGGATGGCAAGTTACTGCACTCATTACACCAAACCATTTTCCAGATAAAAAATTGTAGTTTACAAAAGTAACTTGCCTGAATCGAGACAGCAAATCAATGTCCAGAGACAACACTTAAGGTATTTCCACATTACCAAGCCCCCTTCACAAGTACTGTGGTTTCTGCCCCTCCTTTGAACAGATGTCTCTCCTCGCCACAGTCCAATCGGTTTAAAGCAAGAGTATGTGTACTGAAAACAGGCTTCAAGTGGTAAAACACAACACAAAGCAGGCCTGTATCATTCCTTTGGTTTCAGTTTTCACGATGCACCCTCGAGGCTAGGCACGCTGGTTCAACATGGTAGGAGAGTTTCAACGAAACACACTAAAAACACACTGATCGTGCCGAGACAGAAATGACCTGGCAAAATTCTCAACTTCGTCCCGGAGGCCGTGCACCCGCAGATGCCGGCGGGCAAATCCCAAGAGCAGAAGTCCCCAGCATCCAAAGCAGCTGGCTTCCTCCCCTCAGGAACTCGAGTCCCCGAGGCCGAGGCAGTCGCCGCGGCGGACCCGCACGGGACCAGTTGGGCGCTCCCGTTAACCCTGTCCGGGCTGGCCGGGCCGGCTGCTCCCGCCGCGGCCCGAGCGCCTCCAGGCCCCGCGGCCCGAACAGCACAGCGCGCCGGAGGCCGGCCGTCCCCACCGACCCTTCCCCGCTCCGGCTGGGCGGCCCAAACAAAGAGAGCGGCGGCTCCCGGGGCGGCAGCGCCAAGGCCGTAACGCGCCAGCCTGCCTCGCCCGCCCACCGCCTGCCACTCGGCGGCCGCAGTTCCCGCAGCCCGGGCCTGACCCTATCCCGCTCCGGGGCCGCCGCTCGGGACCGGCCCGGAGGAGAGCCGCAGGGAGGCCGTGGTGCGCCGGGGCCGACGAGGGGGCGGCGGCCGCCACCATGTCTGCCCGCCCCTCCCAGAAGCGGGGTGCCAGCGGACAAAGCGCGGCGGCGGCGCGGGCGGAGCGGGGACCCAGGCCCACCCCGCCGACCCCCGCGGAATAAGCGGGGCCAGGAGCCCCGGAAACCCGGCGCCTTAATGCAATAAACAGGAAATCGCGGGGATGATCTGGGTTCCGGGGGAAGTGGAATTATTTTTTACCAGCGAAGAGATCAACTTCCACATCCGGTGGTAACAGGGCCCTACACAGACCCGCACTGACCTGGAAAAGCTTCGGGAGCGGCGACGGGGGAGCAGCAGGAGGTGGTTCGGGGACCCGAGGCGCCTCGTACCCTGCCGGGCTGACGCGGCCCCGCTAAACACAAAGCGCTTCAGCTGCACAGGGCGCTATTTTCCGAAAATGCCGCGTCTGGTCGGCGCCCAAAATCCCCACCGAAAAGTCCCCCGTGCTGCGCGCGGAGGGACACATGGTGTGCGAGTGAGTCAAAGCTCCCAGCATCCCTCCCAGACCCGGCCCTCGTCAGCTCTTCGCCTGAGGCTTTCCGTCCCTGCCCTAGTTAGCAGATCCCTCTCCCACCCACTCTCCGATCCCTTTCCGGCGGGAGAAATGGGGCGAAAGCGTCTGATTTTTTTTTTAACGAAGAGGAGGGAAATAAGCCATTTCTACAGCTTCAGCTACACAAAGAAACCGGCGGAATGATCCCTTTCGGAGACCGCAAGTCCCGGCTCGCCTGGCGCCTGCGCGGCACGGGGGTGGGAGCTGCGGCCGGCCATGTGCGCGGCGGAGCAGCGGGCCGGCCACGCAGGCTGCCTGCTCGTTTCTGCGGGGCTAGGAGTGCGAGGCTGAAGTGCGTGTGCTAACCTTATCTCTCCGGCATGAGCGCTGAGATGAAAACATACATGTTCCTGTAGCTCCCTCCCTCCTTTTTAAACATTGTGGTGGTTCCTTATATTTTGTAGACCCTAATAACTGCTCACTGAATTCCCTTGAATTACTGTCAACTCAGAGGTAGAAGTCTTGTTTTTCCGGGGTTGGGATATTAAGGTTTTTGTTGCATTTTATTAAGAAAGTAGCAAAAAGTTTATTCGAGGGAGCTTGCCTGGCAGCCCAGTGGTTAGCACTTTGCACTCTTCGGCTGTAGGGCGGAGGTTCGATCCCTGGTCAGGTAAATAAGATCCTGCATGCCCCGGCCACCCCCCCCCCAAAAAGTTTATTTGAGAATGGTGATTTGCAAAGTAAGAGTCTTATGAGTTTAATTTACTTACGATGGTTAGCTAAGAAACCCATAACATAGATAATCTTCTTTAACAGATGAGCCAGGGAGTGACTTCTCAATCTTCTAACCTTAACAATTTTTGGCATCTTACATCTATGAACTGAGAATGTGTGAGAGAGCACCAAGATTTTAATTTAAAAGAGTTTACAAATGAAATACATATTGCCCACTGATTTAGGGTGGCCTCAGGTAAGCAATCTTTCTCCACTTACCTATTTGTAATATTGATGTAGAGATTTGTCTTTATGTAACTTAACAAAAATGTTGTGCCTAAAATAAAATGAATGACATGGGAGACGTATTCTGTTTTTCTTTCTGTTTAATATTTTCAGTGCTGCTTTGGATCCTCACATGCTTTTCTTTAACATTGATTTATCTGAGTAAACGTCCAGTTAATGGTTGCAATAGAATCTTTGCACTCGCTGATCTTATGCTACAGAATGTGAACAAGTAGACATCATCAGCAGTATAATGAGGGTAAACTGCTGAATGCTGTGAAATTTCATACAGGAGGAATCCCTTATTTACCTGTGAAGGAGGCATGGCATGTTGCAGGAAAAGCAGTTAGCTTTAGTAAGGGATTTGGGGAGACTTTCCAGACAGAAGTAATGAATGCAAAGGTTAGGACACAAACACTAGAAATGGTTGAGTGTGCGGAAGATAGTGCTTTTTCAGAAATACCTAGAGATGTGTCTGAAGAGGTCTAGTCATAAAAACCTTGAGTGCCATGTGCAGAAGAGCTGTGAGCTTTTGAGAGCTAAGAGGAAGATATTGAAAGATTTTAAGTAGAAGCATAATAAGATCAGATTTATATTTTAAATCACTATTAGGTAAGTCAGAGGCAGAGAGAACAGTCTGTGAGAGATTAATGACTTGGACTTGAGTTGGTGGCAAACAGGAGTGAAGAGTATGACCAAAGATGTTGCTGAGAGCTTGGTGATTTGGTTGACTGGATAGGGAATGACAGAGGGCCATGTCAAAGATGACTCCTAAGTGTCTTGGGGGAGCAGTCTGAAGGATATCTTTATGGAGATTAGAAACAAGAGAAGAGGAATACATATTAGGGGAGGAAGATGGTTTTGTTTTGACCATGTAGAATTTGAACTGCTTATGAGTCAACCAAGCAAGTATATCTAGTTGGTAGTTAGGTATTCTTTCATTTAAGTTGTTTTGAAAAAAACTGTAACTGGCACTGTTCTGCTCATTTGAACAGATTAAGCAGGGAAAAGACCAACAGATTTCCTGCTCCTGTTTCTGTGGACGGAACAGACTATAAAGTTTTATAAAAAAAAAGAGGAAAGATAATATCACAATATCTTTCATGAAGAAAATGAAAGGGTATTTGGATGAAGCATTTCTCTGGGAGAGAGAGCAGGCAGAATTTTGGAGATTGTTCAGAAATGGCCTCTCTCAGAGTTCCCTGATGGCCTAGTAGCTAGGCTTTACTGAGTGGGCCCAGGTTCAGTCCCTGGTTGGGGAACTGAGATCTTGCAGGCTGCATGGCCTCTGAGAAAATATTCTTTTGAGCTAAGACTGGAATGGGAATAAGTTGAGGCCCATATTCGAGACCAAAGGAATAGTAAGACAGAAATCCTAAGATGAGAGAGCAAGAAAGGCAGTGTGGCTCAAGTGTAAAGGGCAAAGAAAGGAATAGTAGAAGATGAAGTTTACATCCTTAGTAAGTTTCAGAGCTTTAAAGCCATTGAGGGATTTCAAGGAATAGTGGTGGTTTAGTCACTCAGTCATGTCCAACTCTTGTGACCGCATGGAGTGTAGCCCACCAGGCTCCTCTGTCCATGGGATTTCCCAGGCAAGAATACTGGAGTGGGTTGCCATTTCCTTCTCCAGGGGATCTTCCCAACCCAGGAATNATGGAGTGTAGCCCACCAGGCTCCTCTGTCCATGGGATTTCCCAGGCAAGAATACTGGAGTGGGTTGCCATTTCCTTCTCCAGGGGATCTTCCCAACCCAGGAATCAAACCTGCATCTCCTGCACTGGCAGGCAGATTCTTATCACTGAGCCACAGTGTAGTAACATAAATAGCAGTAGAGGTAAAGTGAATGTATTGAAGAGAGATTTTTGTGATTAGACCTAACCTATATTGCTAATGAATCAAACAGGGAAAGAGAAAAATCAAGAGGGATTCATGGGTTTGGGACTTGATTATCGAGTCTAGCACTGCCCAGTATAAACATAACACAAGGCAAATATGTAATTTTATAGTAGCCACATTGAAAAGGTTAAAAAAAATGATTAAAAATACTTTTATTAGACTCAATATATCCAAAATAGTACTATTTCCTATGTGATCAGTATTTAAAAGTATTAAATATTGTTAAATGTTTTGCATTCTTTCTGTTATCACTAAGTAAGTGTTCAAAATCTGATATGTTTTTTACACTTAAAGTATATTTCAGTAATTGATTTCATAAAATTTACAGTTGAAAAAGATTCACATACTCAAATCATTCCAAACATTTCAAAAATTGTGCGGTGATTGAATTATGTATGTTATTTTCATTTTAAAGATTAAAATCTTACTTCCTAAATTAGCCACATTTCAGCTGTTCCGTAGCCACTTGTGGCTAGTCGCTACTACATTGGACAGTATAGGTCTACTGGAATAAAGAATAGTAAAAAATGAGACCAAAAAACTGTGGAACCAGCCTGGAAGGCCTTTGGTTTCATCTTAAAGGATTGGGATCTTGCCCTAGAGAGAGAGGGAATAGTGGATAGTTTTTAAGCTAGGGAGTAACACAGTATTTTGCATAAAGCTAGAAAAAGGCCACTAGGTGACCAACTGATGACTCGGGGATCAGAGCAACCCTTCAGTTGAGTCCCCACATTCCAAGACCTGACCTCAGTCTTTCAAAAGTCTGATTTTTGTCAGTGCACTGGAGCAATGCTAAAAATGTGGGCCACAGGCTAGTGCCAATAGACAAACCCTTTGTTATTGATCCAAGACAAGGCATTTATAGAAATCAAGAGTAAGAATTTAGAAACTTAGAGCAATTAGTGTTACACTAATTTTACATATGTGGTTGTAATAAAAATTGAGGGTTTGTATTGTTGCATATGCCATTGTTTTCCTTTTTCCCTTTTCTAGTCATTTATTTTTGTATTTTTTAAAAGTGTCTATAAAAAAATAAAAAATAAATAAAAGTGTCTGTGATCTTTCATAACAGACAAATTTTGAAGCACTGATCTAGAGACACTCAGTTGAAGCAGTCAGAATGACCAAGTAAGTTCCCAGGCAACTTATCTAAAGTGACTTATCTCAGTGACTTTTTTTTTTTTTTACTTTATAGTGTGAACTATAATGGCTAAGAGGGCTCCCCAGGTAGCTCAGTGGGTAAAGAATCTGCCTGCAATGCAGGAGATGCAGGCAGATGCCAGTTTGATCCCTGGGTTGAGAAGATCCCTGGAAAAGGGCATGGCATCCCACTCCAAAATTCTTGCCTGGAGAATCTCAAGGACAGAGGAGCCTGGCAGGCTATAGTCCATAGGGTTGAAAAGAGTCGAACATGACTGAAGCAGCTGAACATGCATGCACACATAATGGCTAAGAGAGAAATAGATGTATGCTCAGTTGTTCCTGCCCTATCAAAATTGAAGACTACGTGGAAATAACTAAATTTACAATGGCTACCATTTATTAATGATTCCTATTTGCCAGCCATTGTGAAAAGCCTGTTAACATATTAATGTCTCACTTAACCTTCATAATAACTCCTAAAATAGCTATTACTAACCCCATTTTTCCAAAGAGGAAACTGAGTCTAAAATAGGTAAATAACCTGCCTAAAGTCACCAAGTTGGTAAATGTTAGAGACAGGGTTCTAATACAGGTCTCTTTCCAAAGCTATTGTCTTTAATCACTTTTTTTGCCATTATAATCCAGGGAATCCCTAGCAGATTCCCTGGCACAGATTGTTTGAGAGAGAATATGTGAAGTTGACTACATTACCTTCCAGAGAATCATTAGTGAAATTGGGGCCAAAGTAAGGGGAGTTGCTGCTGCTGCTGCTGCTGAGTCGCTTCAGTCGTGTCCGACTCTGTGCGACCCCATAGACGGCAGCCCACCAGGCTCCCCCGTCCCTGGGATTCTCCAGGCAGGAACACTGGAGTGGGTTGCCGTTTCCTTCTCCAATGCGTGAAAGTGAAGTTGCTCAGTCGTGTCCGACTCTGTGTGACCCCATGAACTGCATCCTACCAGGCTCCTCCATCCATGGGATTTTCCAGGCAAGAGGACTGGAGTGGGTTGCCATTGCCTTCTCCAGTAAGGGGAGTTAGTGGTATTCTAATAGTATCAGACAAATGCATTCATTTTTATGATACAAATATGTGTTTTGCTCCTATTCAGAATGTACTGACAATAAAAAATAAAAACACAGTAGAAACTGGTAAGAGATTTAAACAGTCGCTTCACAAAAGAGGGCATCTAAATGGCCAGTAAACATATAAGGGTGCTCAACTTCCATCACCAGGGAAATGCAAATTAAAATCATGAGGTACTGTTGCACACCCACAATAATGGTTAAAATGAAAAACACAGGCAATGTCAGTATGGGAACAAATGAAAATATACCTGTTGGTGAGAATATATATTGGTATAGCCAATTTGGAAAATTCAAACTTCAAAAAAAACCACATGAAACCAAACGACATAGGGATTTAGGCTTAGGTAGTAAAATCTATAAAGAAAAGAAAGAAAATGATTAGCTTTGGGTGGGGGAGTGATGCCTGGGAGGATATGCAGGGGTGCTTCTAGGGTGCTAGCAATGTTCTGTTTCTTAACCTGAGTGAGGGTTGCAGATGTTCACTTTTTTATTGAGCTGTCTGTTTTGGGGTGAATGACTTCTCAACTACCAACCATTACCTTGCTGACTGAGCCAATCTTTCTGAGCCAAGCATTAAAATATGAAAGACAAGGTAGGTCTGATTTCTGGGGATGGCAACAGTGAAGGAGAGGAGAGACAGATGCAAAAAAATACTGCAAAACATGAGGCAGTTTGAGAAGCTGAAAGAGGATGGCCATTAAAGTAAGAAGCCCCAAGTTCAGGACTTAACTGGTTTTTCAATCTAGGCTGTAAGCACTCTCTAGCTTATGACCCGGGTATGTCTCCTAACTTGCCTTAATTTCACTTTCTCACCTGGGACTGAAGGGAGTTTGATAAAATGGATGTTTTTGTTTTACCACTTTGTAAGCTATTAAAATGCCATATACAATTTTGCTAATGTTTGATCAGAAAAGGGAAGGAGTGAGGATGACTGAGATTTTGAGTCAGAG